ATAAATTCAATCAAACCTTAATCAAAATGTTATTTCATTAATTATATTCTATGAAAAGAAGTCCAGTAATATTCAATCACTTTCCTTTCCTTGTCCGTTCACATTTTGTTTAATCAGAGTCTGTTACATCCGCTTCTCTTCTCTCTGTATAATCTCAAAATGTCACTTCCGTTCTTGGGTTCAGTCCTGTCTCTTACTTTTTTCCACTGTTCTTCTTCTTTTACAAGTCACAAATCCGTCAAGTTAAACTCCAAATTCCTAAATAATCAGTCTAAATCAACTCCAAATTTATCAGAACAAGTCCAAAACACCAGTCAATCTTTAATCAACTAAATCGGCTTCGATCTCTGTCTTAAGAGTTCCTTGCTTTCACCGCCGGATTGCCATTTCCCTTTGGACTTCTGTCCTCTTATTTAAGACTCACAGTTCTGCCATCTCTCTCTGCCATTTCTCTCCTCGACTTTCACTTTCCGTCCTCCTTCACTCCAATTTCAATCCATCAACTGATGCCAAAAATGCTGTTCATGCTCTGGTATCTTCCTCATTGGGCTAAAGCACTGCGGCTTTGGTCTGCCATCAAGATGGCCGATCACTCTCACATCGGAGCAAATGGGGTCTCCCTCGAAGCTGTCAGCTGCCGTCAAACTTCTCCTCGGGCTTCCTCACACCTTTGTCTTCCTCTCCAGAGTCTACGTGCCCCACACCAGGGCCTCCAAACGCGCAGATTGGGGATGAGAGAGCAGAGCTTGCTCTATTTTCCCCATCCCACCGCAGCGCTGCCACATGGAACATCCCTAAAATACTCATCTTATTTTGCTTTCTAGAAATAAGATTTTTACAAATACAGGGAAAGCACCAACTACACTTGCTGCTTCCAGATGTCCCCTGAAGGCAATGAATCAACGATAAGTAAAATGAAAATAGAACCAATTAGAAGCCTGTTCAAATTCAGTAATTAACAGTGAGGCTTTATCCTCTTACTAAGAAGGGAAAGAGCAAGAGAGACCATTTTCAAGCATATTCCATGCCTTGGGAGCAACAGAAGAGGCAAAATCAAAAATCACCAGCTGAGTAACAAAGGATGGAAAGATAACTAGTTAAGCAAGGAAGCAGCTACAGGTAGGTACAAAAAGTCCTTTGAAGTCCTACAAATCTGCAAGGAAAGTCCTTGGTGCTCTCTAAGCTTAATTGCTCAGAGCAAAATATTTTCAAAGAACAACAACAACAAACCCAAGAAAGTCCAGTTGCCTTTTTGAAAAGCACCTTTGGAAGATAGTCAGAAAAGCATCTACCAGGCAAGGATAGTAAGCTTCATTATCCACACATCCTCATCTTTCTAATGACCAAAGAGGAGAAATAAAGATTAAGGAGAAGATAGTATCGTTTGTAAAAAGTTTTATTTCAATTTTCCACATTTTAAAAACATCTTTTTTTTAGTAAATAGCATGATTCCAGGTTTTCACATTTCCATACAATCATGACTTTGCTTATATATTCATCTTTCCTATTTAATTTTATATCTTACTATTATTTTACATATTTTATATTATTTGTCTCAAATACTTAAATCAAGCTTATTTTATAAATTTTCAATTCATTTCTTAACCTATGTCTTTTAACTTTAAATAAGTCTCGTATCTTCATATTTATTGTACTTTGTACTTTTATTTGTCAGGTTTGCCATTTCATCACAAATACTTAGTTCATCATTCCAAAAATTCCATCTCAATACAAGCATTTCAGAAAAGTTTCTCTCACAATTACCAATCAGAATGTGCCACCCCTGTACCTTATATATAATTTAATTAGTTCCCTTTAAATCCCAGTAATCATTTTACTTTTTAATTATCACCTTAAAAATTAATAATAATGATCTCCTACTAACTATATCTTTTAAGTCAGATTCCGCATGGCACTTTCCCCTTCAATTTCATCAAAAAAATTATAATTTCAACAAGAAAAGTTAATCTATACAATTCATCATAAAAACTGATATCAATTTTATTACAACAATCCTCATAATTCATTTCAACCAAATTCTATAAACTCACTAAACATAGTTCATAAACTTATCATAATTTCTCATTTTTTTCTCATTTGTTCCATTTATCTGTGTAGAATTTAACAAAAAACAAATATTCCAAAAGCAAAGAGTATCAGTACCAATCTTTCATTTTAATACTTTATATTTTCCTACTTTCTAAATAATTTGTTAATTCTAATACATTTATACTGCACCTCAACACCTTGCAGAATCCCCTTTCTTAATTCTTAATTAACCATTATCTCTGTGTCTTTTAACTAAACAATTTCTTTTCATTTTTATTCAATTTCCATATTTTTTTATTTCCTGGTTCTGTTTCTTATTACTTCTTTTTCCCTTCATTTTTCCCATTCTTTTCTTAATTCAGCTTTTGTCCCCCTCCCTCTTTAAAGCTTCCTTCTGCATTTCCCTTTTCTGCTGTTTCCCTTTACTTTGTTTGGTTTTCAAAATATTCCCCCTTTTAATTATCCCCTCAAAGTTTTTAATTCCCATTCTTTTCCCTCTTCACTTTAAAATTCATTGAAGATAGTATCAAAACAAAAGAACATACTGTACACTTGAATGACTGTGACCAGCAGTCTCAGTGGTCAAAGTCCCATTTAGCAACTGATAAATCCAACTGTCAGGGAAGTTTTGTTCTTTCATCTTCTCATCTTCTAGGCAAATAGTCCACTTAATCAGAGCATCTTAAAAAAAATTATCTGAAGAACAGCTTCCCCTGTTCCCAGAAAGTGTTGTTTATAACGAGAGGCTACATTTTCTGAACAGTCCTTCAAAATTTAACTCTGCCTGCCTTGGCTTTTGATTCCCTTGCCCTAGGAGGCTCAAACCAACTCTCTCCCTTCTACACTGACTGTTGGTGATTATCTTAGACAGACAATGATCTTGTATCACATGGTGCTAGATTTTGATTAGACAGGACACTGAGTATGTATGGATCTGTTAGAGTTCTGTCTTCAGGCCAGAAGCAAAATCTCCCCATCTTTTCTGCAGGAGATCAATCCTCACCTGCTATGGTGGGACTCGACCCTCTGCTTTATATAAAAAACACCTATGAAGATTTCTGATCAAGCTCTACTTCCAGGTATATCTAATTCTTCAGCTAATTCTTTGAATCTTGTAACTCAAATAGGGTGGATGGACTTCCCTTCTGTTGATGAACTTCATCTATATAGGATTTAAAGATATTTTGCCTGCAGGTCCTGCTGTCCCCAGTCAATGCAGATCCCAAGTATGAAACAATAATCTTCCACTCACCAACTTTGTAGAGCTTGGATCATCATTTTCAGGTACATTATAATTTTGGAAGGTTTAATTAGAGACAGTGATATGCAAATAGAGTAATAGCCATTCCTTTAATAGCTGTACATTTCTATATCTAATATTGAATAACGAAATGTTTCTTGTCATATTGTATATTGACTGTCACATTAGTTCAGGTTTTCTACCTTTGACTCATTTTCCAACCTACTTTTAGACATCATGCAGAACAATGCAAGTATAAGCTGTCTGGAACTAAGATCAAGGGGATAAGATGTTTCCTTAGTTTACCCATAATTGTTTTTCATCTGTTTTGGCTCTTCCAGTCTAAATTCATTTTTGTGTGTGTATCAATTGGTAAAGTTTTAGTTAATCACCAAAAGTTTTCACAGAAATCTTTTATGGTTAACTCGTAAAGGAGAGTATAAACTTAGAACTAAGGAGAAATTTCCTGAAAATGAGAACAATTAACCAGTGGAACAGCTTGCCTCCAAAAGTTGTGAATGGTCCTTCCAACTCTATTCTTGTTATTCTGTTGCTTAAGTAGACTAAAATGGGGTGTGTATGTGTATTTCCTCCTTTTTTAAATTTTGTAGCTCTACAAAATTTGTAACCTGCCCATTTCTCTATTTAGCAGGATTTTTCCCCTGCAAATCATCTCCTAACTCCTAGTTTCAGGTTATATATGTATATGTTTTCTTACGATTATCTCTTATTATCTCTGTTATACTCCGGGCAGCATATCACCCTAACAAGAACCAGCACTGCGGAAAATTTCCTTACATAATTTCTAATGTTTGCTTTGTTGATCACATGTTGCTTTTGCTTTTGTTGCTTTGAATGTCACAGTGCAATAGTGACAAAGTGGCAGAAAAGACATTGCTGAATTTCAATACAGTAAAAGCATCCAATCCAATCCAACTCCAAATACATGTTCAGATATGTATTGAGAAGCATGGATAAAGCAACATCTCCCTTAGGTGTGGCAATAAATATTTCAAGAGTTGGCTCATTACTGCAGTCAAATCACTCAAAACTATTCACAGAGAAAGTAGAACAACAGAATAACAAAGTTGGAAGGATTTTTGGAGGTCATCAAGTCCAACTCCCTTATGAAGTAGGACATCCCATGTCATTCCAGACAAATAGTTGTCAGATCTCTTCTTAAAGCCTGCTAATGTTGGAGCATCCAGAACTTGTGAAGGCAAGCTGTTCCACTGGTTACTTGTTATCATTATTAGGACATTACTCCTTAATTCCAGGTTGGTTCTCTCCTTGACTAGTTCCCATCCATTGCTTCTTGTTCTGCCTTCAGGTGCTTTGGAGAATGGGTTGACACCATCTTCTTTGTAGCAAACCGTTAGTGGAAGTTATGATAATATTGGTATTCTTTAGGACAGAGGTCCCCAACTGTGGTACATGACCCCATGATGCTCCACAGCCCTTTAGAAACCAAGCCAAAGTTGTGGATGAGCACATGCATGCGAGTGCAAAACTGCATTTGTGAATACAGCACACCTATGTGCAAAGCCAATCCCCCCTCTCCCCCCCCATTGCCTTCACCGTGTTTGCTGGTCCCTGATCTGTAAAGACCACTGATTTAGGAGACAGGAATGACTGAATCCATTCTTCTTTCTTTTCTCCTAATAGGAGCTTCCATTCAAAAATATTTTCAGAGATTTACAAAAGCTTAATGATGAATTCCAGCCTGGAAGATCTGGATGCTACAGAAAACTATTATATCTATAACAATACCAATGACCTATATGTGTACTCAGAAGGGGTCACCCCTTCTGATTTAGGACAGAAAGTATGGATAAGCATTTTTGTAATAACTTGCTGTTTTGGATTTGTGGGCAATGGCTACATCATCTGGCTACTTGGCTTCCAGATTAAGAGAAACTGTTTCACCACATTCATCCTTAACTTGGCCATTGCAGACTTTGGGTACCTCGCATCTGTGTTTATATATAGTATTCTTACATTTACCAATTTTCAAGCAAGTGAACTATTCTATCACCTCAATGTCTATTTCGCCCGTGTGATGTTCATCAATGCAAACTTTCTTCTGACTGCCATCAGCATTCACCGGTGTGTGGCTGTCCTCTTCCCAATCTGGCATCATTGTTCCCGGCCAAAACATTTATCCTTCAGTGTCTGTGTCCTCCTGTGCATCTCCTCTTTCCTCCTGAGTGGAATTATTAGTGTTATGCAAATCTTTATAAACTACAAGGTGGCCGTTCTCCATTTTCTTCTGATTCCTATAGTTTGCTTTCCGTTGATCACACTCTCTACTGCAGTCCTTTTCATCAAAGTGTGTGTTAAACCTAAACAGAAGAATCAGAGTCGGCTTTTACTGATGATTTTAATGACTCTTCTCTGTTTCATCATCCTTGCTTTCTCGTTATGTGTCTTTGCAGTGATTATTAGTTTTTCAAGTACCAAAGTTGAGAATAGACTGGAACATTGGACTATGTGTAGTATAATATTTTCCTGCATAAACAGCAGCATTAATCCCGTGATCTATTTTCTAGTTGGGAGGAAAAAAGGAGCTCAGTCCAAGGAGAGCATGAAGGTCATTTTGCAAAAGGTCTTCAAAGAAGCGGAAAGGAGTGGAGGGAGATAGAAGAGCTCAAACCCTCTTACGAGATCTCTGTGCTTCTTTCTGAATAGCAATGAATGATTTTTCACTTGAGACTGTCATCTTATAGGTGGGACCAAATCACTTTCAACATATCAGGTCTTTCATCTTAATAAACATACAAAGAATTGCATTTGAAGAGATGTCTACACCAGTCCACAGCTAATGTTGTGTAGGACATGAACTGCATGACATTTGTAAAATACTCAGCTTCTTTCTTGAAATAATATGTTTACAGGGGAAGCACCAGCCACACCTGCTGTTTCCAGATTTCACCTAAAGGCAGTTAATTTGTGAAATGAAGCAATAGTAAGAAAAAAAAGATAGAACCAGTCAGAAATCAGTTCAGTATTTAATTTAGTATTTAGTTTACTTTATTGTCATTGCACCTCATACAACAAAATCAAACACCATCTTCAGTGCACATCATGACCCTGAAAATAAACACAAACACACATCCTTCACACTCCACACATTGAACTGAAACCCCCCAACACCGCACCAACACTGCACTATATGGTAAAATTCAACAGAGCTACTGCCCTGGGATAGAAGCTATTTTTCAGCCTATTTGTCCTTGTTTTTATTATCCTGTACCGTCTGCCAGATGGTAATAGTTCAAAAAAAAAAAAAAGGGTTCCCAGGATGAGATGGATCTTTGAGAATTTGAACTTTCTTAAGGCAGTGGGAGCTATAAAGCTCTTCCAAAGAGGGGAGAGGGCAACCCATGATCCTCTGGGCAATGACATTAACTCTTTGGAGCACTGTCCCATCTGCCACTGTGCAATTGGCAAACCATACACAGGTACAGTAAGTTAAAATACTCTCTATGGTGCAGGGGTAGAAGCAGGGGTGGGAATCCGACAGGGTTAACTACCGGTTCGGTGATTTACGAGGTTCGGTGATTTACGATGTGTTTCCCTGCATGCTGCGTGCGTGCCTGTAAATTGTCATCAGCTTGCTGCCTGGACAGCTCAGCAGCGGTGAGTGCAGAGAAGCAGTGTTTGAAACAGCACTTTTTTTCCTGCTTTTTTAAACTGCAGCTGTGCCTTGCACAGCAGCTGAGGTTGAAAAAGCAGGAAATAAAGGTCAGGTAAGAGCCTAGGCAGGTGGGTGAGCCAAAATGTCAGCAGACATAGAACCGGTTCTATGTCGGCTGCTCTTCAGAGCTACCGGTTCTACAGAGCTAGACAGAACTGGTAGAATCCCACCCCTGGGTAGAAGGTCAAATTCAGTAATGAATGTTAAGGCTTTAACCTCTTACTAAAATGGCAAAGAGTGAGAGAGACCATTTTCAAGCATACTTCAGGCCTTGGGAGCAACAGAAGAGAAAAATAGTCCACAGGTGAAATCTGAAATCCATCTGAAGGATGGAAAGATGGCTAGTTAAGCAGGGAAGCAGCTACAGATGGGTACAACATGTCCTTAGCCATTCTACAAATCTGCAGGGAAAGAGTTCTATTTGGGTTCCTTTGTGCTCTCAGAGTTTGATTGCTTGCTTGAAGACATTTTGTTACTTTGCTAGGTAACATCAGCAGTGCTAGAAGGGTTTGATCTTTGTTTATATGTACAATAGCTTCCCTGCCAGTGTTGGTGGGAGTGTTGGTAGTTGCTTGATTATGTTTACTGTTTGATGGTTTTTCTGAGTTTGTAGTTGCTTGATTAGAGCTTTTTTTTTTTTTTTTTTTGAAAGATTCACTGCAGAGCATGGCAAATAGAAACATTTACTGTATGGTTTCAAAGAGGGCTTAAATGCTTACATATACTGCAGGTTGGTAGACACAAAGAAGAACAAAGTGAGAAAGCAGAGCTTTGTTGTTGTTGTTGTTGTTGTTGTTATACACTTGTTTCTGTTTTCTTTTTCCTATTCTCAATGCATACATTGTAATGAACAGTACAGCTACCTTATGGTTATCAGCAAAAACATATAGTTCATAATCAATATTCATGTATTTTTTTCTCTCTTTTACTTTAAAGATTTAAGTTATCTAAACAATAAAGTGTTAATAATCTCCAGTCCACAAGCTCTCCAGGGACATATTGAGGGTTAGGGTTTCTGTTTCTGAGCTACTGAAGTTACTTATAATTGCTTCCGTTTGAGTTTGCTCCATGTTGAAGAAATCTACAATTGGTTTGTAAAATGTACTTCATGTATTTATAAAGATATTAAATGAAGCATCAGCCATCTGTGTTTATTTTTCTGGCGCTGAATTAATGCTGCAAAGCTCTAAAAAAAGTCATTTAATCAATAATGGTTGTGGGCATAATTCACATTATCCTGATCCTTGGTAACATTAACCATTAGGTCAGGGCTGTCAAACTTGCAGCCTGTGGGCTGGATAAGACAATCCGGTTCTTGTTTTTGCAAAATAATCACAAACTGTAGAATAAGAAGAGTACCCAACAGCTTTGGTTGTCAAATTCAGTTCTGAAGGAGAACTGAAGAAGCTTCTTGGCTAAAAAGCAAAACGTTTTCAAAGAAAAAAACCAAAATACCAGAAAAACAAAAAACAAAAGAACAAGCTCTACAATTGAATCATTGTAATCAGCTGGCTCTAACACTTAGTGGTCAAAGTCCCATTTATCAGCTGGGAAATCCAACTGTCAGTAAAGTTTTGTTCTTTGGTCAATCAGCAAATAGTCTACTTAATCAGAGCATTTTAAAAGAAATATAATCTGGATAACAGCTTACACTGTGACAAATGAATGCAAATAATTTCCTCTGTTCCCAGAAAGCTTTCTTTATAAGGAGATGCTATATTTCTGAACAGTTCTTCAAAATTTAACTCTGCCTGACTTGGCTTTTGGTTCCCTTTGCCTTAGGACAAGGGTCTTCAAACTTGGACAGTTTAAGACATGTGGACTTCAACTCCCAGAATTCCTGAGCTAACATGACTGGAGGAGGAATTCTGGGAGTTGAAGTCCACCAGTCTTAAAGCTGCCAAGTTTGAAGACCCCTGCCTTAGCAGGCTCAAAGCAACTGTCTCTCTTTTACACTGACTGTTGGTGATTATCTTAGACAGACAAGGATAGTATCTTGGGAGGTCACATGGTGGTGGTTTCTGATTAGAAAATCCACAGAGTATGTGTGCATCTTTTAAACTTTCATGACAGAAGCAAAAGCTCCAGGTTTTCACAGGAGATCAATCCTCACCTGCTATGCTGGCCCTGAACCCTGTTCCTTTTCTAAAAACACATCTGAAGATTTCTGCTCAGGTTCTGCTTCCAGGTACATCCAAATCTTCAGACAATTCTTTGAACCTTGTAATTCATGATCGGGTAGATGGACTTCCCTTTTGTTGATGAATTTCATCTAAATAGGATTTTGCCTGCAGGTCTTGCCATCCTCAGTCACTGCAGACCCTTAATATGAAACAATAATCTTCCACTCAGCGACTTTGAAGAGTTTGGGACCACCACTTTCAGGTAAGTTACACTTTTGGAAGGTTTAATTAGACCCAGGGATATGCAAAAAGAGCAATAGTAGCTGCATATTTCTATTCCTGATATTTATATGTTGACTGTCATGACAGCCTCAGTTGAGGTTTCCTGGTTTTCACTCATTTTCCAACCTACTTTTAGCCATCATGACAGAACAATACAAGTATGTCAGAAGCAAGCAAACTATTCTGAACCCAAAGTCAAGAGAATAAGATATTTCTTTAGCTTACCCATAAACATTTTTCATCAGTTTTGGCTCTTCAGTTCTGTAAAAAAAGCCATTCCATTTTTCTATCAACTGGGAAAGTTCCAGTTAATCACAGAAAGTTTGAACACATGCAGATGGGAAATCTTCTATACTTAAATAATGAAGAGAGAACCAACCTGGAACTGAGAAGAGTGAAAAGAAGTCCTAGGGGGTGACACGATAGCAGAATTTCAATATTTGAGGGGCTGCCACAAAGAAGAGGGTGTCAATCCACAACACTCTTCTTAGATATGGCAATAAACAGTTCAAGGAGTTGGCTCATTACTGCAGCTGCGTCACTCAAACTAGAGATGGGCTTCAAAAATTTTAGCAAAGGGTTCTCTGCCTGGTTGCTGGGTTGGTGTGGCCATGGTGGGTCTGGCCAAGTCGACCTCCTGCGCCACGGGATGTGTGTGTGTTGAAAATGGCCTCCCCGGGCTCCGGAGGCTCTCTGGAAGCCAGAAA